CAGCAAGTGAAAGTGATAGTGAGGAGGAAGGGGAAGGTAAAGCCAAAGTGAGCGGGTTTGAAAAGGAGTTACAAGAATTACAAGAGGCGATGGAAGAAACAGAGGAAGAAAAGCAAATAAATGAGATGATAAGTAAGGAGGAGGAGGAAATTGCTAAAATTACGGAAAAGTTGGAAGAGTTAAATAAAAACAAAGCAGAATGGAAGTTGCACAAAATAGATGAGGAGTACTTGTCAAAACCAACGCCAAAAGCAGAATGGGCAGAAGCACTACAAAAGAAGAAAGAGGAAGAGCAGGGGAAGAAGAAGTTCCATCCAGAGGATCCTCGGTTCCAGCTGCGTTGCAGAAAATGTAACCAGAGGGGACATCAGACATCAGCATGCACTGGAGAAAAAGGGAGGAGAAAGCATTAGTATAAGTCCTGTTCATTTAAATTGGAAGTCAGTTGTAATGTTTGTTTAAAAGTTTAAATAAAGTTGTAACCATTGTTTGTGAACCATGTGCGTTATTTCACAAACATTCCCAGCAACACTGGAAGCGGAAACAACGGTAAGGGCAAATACATGAAGACACAAACAGGGCAGGGAAAAGTTTAATAACAGAGTGCTTTCTTTTAGAAAAACAGCTCTTAAGAAATACAAGCCCACAGAGTGCTTTCTTTCAAAAAAAAAAAAAAAAAGACAACAACTCTCAAAGGAAAAAAACAACAGTAGTGAGTGACGGAGCGTTGGAAAAGAACAAGGCCCGGAGTGGGAAAATAAACAAAAAACGCGGGCATGGTAAGGAAGGACACTGAAATAAAAGTAGAAATTAGTAAAGAAAGGAAGAGGTCAGGGATCAGAAACAACCCGCAACGACTAACCTCACTCTTCCGGAGGGTTGAGCTCAGGCACCGGGGGCGGTGGTACAAGAGGGAAGGGAATTACTTCCTAGAATAAAAACAGCAATCAGCAATAAATGAAAAGAATGGGTAAAAGAAGCGAGCCAGCCAATAACGTACATAAGCAGGTCCCTTGCATAAGACGCAGTGGTAGAAAGGTTGGGGAAGGGTTGACCCAACCACCCAGTCCAGGCCAAAGCGGCGATGACCAGAGAAAGTGTATAACAAGGGGTCAGCGAGGAGAACACAAGCTCCGCAGATCGTAACATTTTCACCCCAAAAGTTCCATGCATGGTGCAGGAATTGAAAAATGCAGACAAGGTCCATGGTAACAAACACTGAACTTACAAGGACTAGAAGGGGGCGACTGCGGGGGCGTTGATGGTGGAGATGGCGGGAGGCCGAGAGGATTGAGATGGAGAGGCAGCTACAGAAAAGGGAAAATAACAGAAAAAGGAAAAAAAAAAGGATTTAAAAAAAAATATGTGTAACGTACGTAGCAACCAGAGTCGCAGTACCCGCAGAGCCAGAGCCCGGGTAAATCCCAAATAGGAACAACAGACAACCAGGTGAAGTAGTACTGAGTGGGCAGCCAATTGGGGTCCCAAGCAACCCAGTTGGTACAGCGGTGGCACGTATACCACACCTCACTGTCAGGTACAAAGATTGATTCAAAAGCAATGCCCGCAATCGCGACATGGCCCGGGGGAATATTGATAAACGGGGCAAGAGCCATGATGACAGTAGAGTACAAGAGACAAGCGCGGGAACAGAACGGCACAACAAGTAAACAACAACACCAGCAACTAGTAGCTGACGTCGTCGAGGGACTTGACGCGAGGCTAGGTTGCAGAAAGAAAACAAAAGGGTGGTGCGGGGCCCCGCTAGTGTGTTGCTGTGGAGTGCAAGTGTTGTTTGTGCAGTCTGAAGCTTTTCATTCTTCGAGTGTGAATGCAGTTTTGTGAGGATTTGTTACCTATTCAACGCTGCAGGAGTGATGGACATCATGGCACTGGACTGAGGGCACACTTTATGCAAGGACAGGAAGAAGCCCCGCATCGTTAACTACCAATTCAACTCCTTTCATAAACTCCATTTCTTGTACCTCACCACTCCACAGATCTAAACATGGAGAACATTCCGACACTTGAAACCTATACACACGGAGTTCGTGGAGGCT